CTCGAAATGCTCCGGTTGCAACTCTTAGACCACTGTTATGAACTATATCAATTGTGTTTAGAATATTATAGTGTTTGAATTGGTATAGCAGATTGATCCATAGTCAGATAGTCTAATTATTTAGATCTAATATATCTAAAAAGATACATTTATTATCATAAAATCTAACATGAGATCTATATAATTCGATTAAGACATTACTTTTTGCTCCCCATTCAACATGGCTCAAATTTTTTAAGATATTGATACTTTTGGTTGAGCTTGTATTGATTTTGATTATATGAGGTTTCCAAGGAAGTTTGCTGTCAAAAATCAACCCTAGGATTTTTATGTTGTTCACAAAGGGTAAAGGAGTGTTCCCCAAAAATAAATTTGGTTTTGAAATTTGTTTCTTTTTTGTGTAAACATGTTACATTTGGTTTTTTCTGGTGAGAAAATAAAACCCGATTGGAAGCACTACTTGGACTGGTCGTTATTAGGCAATCTTGAAGAAGACGTGTCATTGATTTAATGTTTTTCTCTTTAAGTCTTTGCCTAGAATCGTGTTTCGTAAACAATGATTTTATATCGTTTGAATTCAAATTTATCTCAGCCATTACTTTTTTTTATTTTTATAAATATGGTCACCCTAACGTACTGTACCTACAGAATTACGCGAATAGGTTCATGTTACAATGCACATTAAATTAGTCTAAACATTTGTCATTTTGAAAATTTCATTGTGGAATCTATTGTACGAAATGACAAAAACTTTCAAGTAGTTTTAAGATGTATATAAAAAAAGTTTGTTTTATTCCTAAATTATTTTTAAAGAAACTTCGTAGTAGGTACGTTCATATTGTAATTTATATATAAAACAGATTTACCTATTATATTATATAAGAAACGTGTTACCGTGTATTATAACAGCCTTGAAATTAGTCAATTTTGAGAGACAGGTATCAACTTGACTTTCGTGTAATTTGTGATTACATTTAAATAATACATGAACATGATCTATAAATTATATCATCAAGGATTAACATGTTGTAAGCAATTGTCTAAGTAGATTCTCTATATAGGTACACAAATATACAATTATACAAGTGACTATAGTCTATAGTATTATCCAACATTTAATATAATGTCGATCGGCTATGTGATGTACCTATTCCTTAAATATACATCACGCAATGTACGAGTAGTGAGCACGATTGACCATGAACTATTTTATTTTAATTTTTTTAATAACAGAGCCTACGATGTTGATGCTATACCATTTTAGAAATTGTACTTACTCTAAGATAAATAATATACTTTAATAATTCAAGATTTCTATCCAGAGGCGTACGCAGGGGTAGGGTTTTAGGGTTCTGATCTCCCCTGAAATTTCTTTTTTCTACAAAAAAAAATATTATTTACCACCATTTTGATACACACAGATCAATTGTTGGTCATTTTTAATACATTTTTGAATAAGACAAAGACGTCGATAATTATAGTTTCTGTTTTTTTTTTTTGACTGATTTAGAACATTACTAATAAACGTCTGCCATAATCGATGGTGTATCATCGTCCATCAATTATTAGTTATTAACACGTTTATTACAGCCGGAGGAGGCTCTATAGATGAGCAGGTTAGACTCTGTAAATGTAGACTAAATTTGAGACTAACTATAATTTGTTATATAAAAACTGTTAAGAAAAAAATAATGCAAATTATTTACTCAGATAAAATCCGAACCAAACTAATATCCTGCGTAAGCTACTGTTTCTATCTATACCAAGAATGACATTTTTCGTTTAAAAGTTAAAATAATAATATGTTAGACGATAAAAGTATAAAACAATATCAACAATTTCAAAATGCACAGTTAGTAATTATATAATATTATAATATATAGGTAGGTACATTGTATAATATACAATAGTCAATAACTATAATGTTGGTAGATACTTTGTTATATATAAATATATTATTAACCGACTGCAGTTGTTAAATCATTTAGAATGACCTATCAACTTAATATTCCAATAATAATTGTTAAATAATATTGATCCATCAAGACTCTATTATGATATACTTAAAACTTGCTGAGTGAGTCACATAGGGGGAAATGGAGGGGGGCTTGCTGGGATTAATCCCCCCAAGTTTTAAATGCAGGCGTTATAGTTCCCCGGCCTGGTCCTTGCAATTATACAGTGCCTAAATATCTAATAATTATTGTAAAATGTATTTACAATAACTAGCTAGGAACGATCATAAATTTAATATCAACCAATAACCTTCAACAGTTTTTATGAGCAGTCTTCCTCTTCCACGTCCCGTGCGTCTTCTCGGTTTCGATGAAAATACGTACCTAATAAATAACGATATACTATTTTGTTCAACTAATTATTGTTGTATATTTGAGCCGACACTAAATTGGTTAATTAATTAAATGGTAAATTAATTTATATTTAGAATACTTTTAAAATGTTACTTGTTAGGCAACTAATTGTTTTTAAGCTTTTTATGGTTAAACTGTTTAGATTGTAACACGTTTTAAGTTATCTTGTTAGAATTCATAATTGCGAGCGAAGCGACCGGCTCTAGTACAATAGTACCTATCCCAATAATACGTATTAATATATTATATATAGTTGTAATGAGTATTTTAGCTCAGCCGGGCCCCCACCAGTAATTTCACCGTTTATCTCTGAGAACTAATTAAATCAAAATGTTAAATATTTGTTTATAGTTCTAGTACCTATTTTATATTTCTATTTCACTTTTACAAATTTCTATGATTGCTTTATATCGATGAACATTTTTATTCAAAAAACAATGGTTCAACTAGTATTTGACTATTTGCTTAAGTTTTTAAAATAATATATTAATATATATATTAGATATGATCGTTTCTGTAGGTATATCCGGTATATGATAAGGTTTTCAAAATATTTTGAATCTTTGATTATTATGCCAATAATTATAGACTTTGGAATGTTCGATTTGTTTGGTTTTTATTTCTTTAAATGTTAGTTAAAAGATTTCCGGCCAGTCAAAAAGTTCAGGAAACGAATACAAGGTTTCTCGTAAATTGTTCATTTGCCAATTCAAAAATATCGAAAATTCATAGTTTTATAAACAATTTTATTTATTTATCTAAGATTTGAAAATTGAATACTAGATTCCTCATAAGTTGTTCCACTTATAACAAAAAAAAGTTTACCTAAAACTCACATTAGGTAATTTATTATGACTTATGAGCATTTGAATTAAAAATTGTTATAATTTTGAGCATGAGAATTTTTATTCAAAGATTTTGGTTTTTGATGTAACTCTAAAATAAAAATACATGAATTTTTCACTGAATGTTATATGTTATAATATAATATATATATAACATATTATATGTCCTATATACGATAACATTTTCAAAATATTTTGACTTGTTTTGAGCTTTTTTTTAGTTTTTTTTCTATAAATATCAATAAAATTGTATAAGTTGGGTCAAAAAGCTTGGAAATTTAATACAAGGCTCCTAATATTATATTGTTGCAATGACAGTTAAAAAAATATTAAAAATACATAGACAAATTTCTTTTTATAAGCGTTTAACGTTCGAATTTTGACAAAAAGCTTAAAAACCACGAAAATGTGCAAATTATTTTGAGTTAGAAATTTCTAAAAAATTTTCTTTTTAAATCTGACATTTTAAAATGTATAATACAAGAATCCTATAAGTTTGTTTACTTTTATCTAAAAATGTCTATAAGAAAGTCAAATTAAATTTGCATGAAGTTATTAATAGGTAACTAATAAGCAATTACAATATAACTATAATATAATTATATAAAATATCCACACTGACAAATCGTCTCCACTCTGCAGAATCGATTTTCGTATACAAGGATATTATATCATTGAATTCAAATTTAATACCATCTACCTATTATACAGTGACCCACTTGTAACCTAATGTACGGCCGAGTGACATTCACTTACCCACCTTTTTTAAATTTAAATCTTTAGTAAGTATATAATTTTAATTATGAATTTATTAACACGATCGCAGTGAGCGTAACTAAAGAGTAATATTTTATTTATGGAATTTTTAATGTCACGTAATAGTACTAACAAGCGTTTTAAACAATATATTTCATGTTTATATTATGTAGATTGAGTCTGTATTATATTATGTTTATGTAATGTATGTGTACCTTAAAATGTACAATAAAGAATCATTCGTATCAATACTTCTGTGTTGTTAAGTTGTGTGTTTCTTCCAATACAGTACAGTGTACTATCTATACTCAATAAATAAGTACAGTCTTAATAGTCTTTATACATGCCGCCATAGGTTACCGGTTTGTGTTGTGTCAGTGTCACACACACACACACAAACATAATATATTAAATATAGCATAATATAGGAATATTATATACTATACAGGTAGTTACCAGCTATGTTACTATAGGTACATAATAATTAATAATAATTAATACGTGTGATATGTGAATAGTATATTATACTATTTTTATTTTATGTATATAAATGCACATTAATACGCCATTTAATCATTATATTTCCACCACCTATTATAACTAAATAATATACACTTGCAGTCTACGTACCTACCTATAAACTGCAGTCACGGTATAATTGGTCATCAAAAAAAAAAATATAATATTAAGGTTGTGCACGGTAAATAAAACGCGGGGGCGTTTTGTAAACCACATCAATGTTACCTATAGCGGTATGCGCCAGGACCCATACTCGGACCATTCTCTTTATACGCGCGAGTTCAAGATGATCTAATAATCACCTTGACATTTGGCATCAAGTGCACTTCTTGCTTTATCATTTCCCCAGTAGGTAGGTACATAGATTATACCAAACGTATAATTTTCTGTGAGTCCGACGCCCAGACATGGATTCATTAAAACAAAACCATTTGGACTGACACCGCTTCGATATAGTTTTGAATTGGCAGCCGACAATCAATGAAGCCCTAATTTAATTTTCGGAGAGAAGATGAAGATCGTTCTGCAGGTAACGTACAATATAAATATTTAATGTGTTATATTTCTACTGTATTATAATGTATAAGTTTAATATTATACAAAACTAGGAAAACGAAACTGTACGTGTATATGCTTACCTATACCTACGATATAGATATTAAAAAGAGAATAGCAGTAGATAATTAAATAAATTCCAATTTTATTTCAAAAAATACAATGATACAAATATATGACTCGTTATCGGTTATGTACGACGGAAAAATGTTTAATTTGGTCAATTGCAATAATATTTAATTCATTTTTAAAACTAAAGACTACCTAATAACTAATAATTAATACTAAACAGTAAACAATAATATTTAAACAAACATTTGAAATCACCTGTTAACGAACGAAAAATAATAGTTAGATGACGATTTAGTCCATAGATCACATGCGTTGTGTATTTGACACATGTACATTAAATACACTATTTAAACTATCGATTTGTTTTTAGATAATTTTTTCATTTGTCATTTTATGGCCAGCAACACTTTCTCAAAATTACTACGTTCCAGTTCAAGAAAATGAGGTATTTAAATTTATTATATACAAAATAGTTCATGTCTTATGAATCATTATGTAAACAATAAATGAATAACAATAAATTAAAATAATGGGAGTATTTATTCACCGTTATATGGTCTGTTTGACAGTTGACTTACGAATTTCATTACAGTATCAATGACTTGCTCTCAGGTGTTGTAACACATCGCTGGGAATCGAAGTACGGTGATTACGTAAGAGGGTCGTACAGTTTTCTAGAGCCTAATGGTATGATAATAAATGTGAACTACGAAGTCGATGGAAAACGTGGCTACAGAGCAGTAACGAAATTTTTGAAACCACAACAAAGTAAATATATTATAATAGTGTACACTTTTATAAACAATATAACCTAGGTTACAAACAGGTTATATCTTGAACTTAAGTATAGGTAATAGGTACATGTACCATTGGCCCAAGCCATTTTCCTCCAAAAATGAGATACCATTTTCCTTCAATAAAGAATTAAGCATAAAAAGGTGCTCTGCTGTACAGTAAGTTACAAGTGGGTCGCCGTATAATGGATGGTATTAAATTTGAATTCAATGATATAATATCATTGTATAAGAAAAATGATTCTGAGGGGAGACGGTACCTATGTCAGTCTAGGTTTAAGACATATTATATACATATCAATGGTAATAAAAAGGAATATGCACAGTCTTATCATTGAGCATACTTCTTATTCATTATACTATGGTAGATTGTATGGATAGGCCCTACAATTTTGATTTTTTGATTTTTCAGTTTCGTATATCCCCGAATAATATTTTTAAATTACAACAAAAAACTAAAATCGTTAATATTGATTTTAATATGTCATTTCGTCCAAATTTGAACTTAAAATGACTATAAAAATAAACTGTGCTTGTGTATTTTTTAGATTTTTGGTAACAGAATTAACTACTTACATGGAATCTTGTTTTAAATTTTCAATCCTTAGATATAAAAGTTGAACCTTTTATAGATTTTTAACTTCAAAATAATTATTCAATTTTAAATTTGATAAATTTTGTCAAAATTCAATCTTTAAATGCTTATAAAAAAAAATTGTGTCAATGTATTTTTAATATTTTTCAACTGATATTGTAACAATATATTAGGAGCCTTATATTCAATTTGTACACTTTTTGGCCTAAAAAATAAAACTTTATTGATATTTAAAGAAAAAAAAACTAAAAAATGACAATGTCCTTAAACAGCTCAAAAAGATTCAAAATATTTTCAAAATTGTATGGTGTACAGAAAATGTTAATATAAACATTCAGTGAAATTTTCATGTATCTACAGTTAATCGTTTTTGAATTACAACAAAATAAGGAAATCGCTACATGAGAAATCGAGTGAATATCCAATATCATCGTAAAAATATGAAATTCAAATGCTCATAAAAATTTAATTTGATAAAAGTAGATAATCTTATTAGGAACTTTGTATTACAATTTAAAATCTTAGATTTAAAAAAAAAAATTGTATGTAATTCCAACTCAAAATAATTTCTTAATTTTCGTCATTTTTACGTATTTTGTCAATATTTAAACTTTAAACGCTTATAAAAAAAAATTGTGACTGAGGATTTTTAATATTTTTCATCTGCCTTTGAAAAAATATACTGGGAGCCTTATATTAAATTGTCAAGCTTTTGTACCCATCAAATAACATTTAATTGATATTTATAGTAAAAAAACTAAAACAAAATGGAAACTGATAATGTCCGTAAAGAGCTCAAAATAAGTCAAAATATTTGGAAAATGTTATGGTGTATAGAAAACGCATTCAGTTAAAATTTCATGTACCTACGAGCTAAAATAAACTTTATAGGTATATCGTATATGGTATATCTCTATATATAATATATTTATATATTTAAAAGAAACTTGTCCTGACTGACTGACGAACTGATTCATCATCGCCTAGCCGGAACCGCCGAAGCTACGAGTATGAAATTTGGTCAGTAATTTCGTTTTATGATGTAGAGACTCACTAAGAAAGGATTGTCCAGGTTACTCAGGTAGATCAGGTACAGACCGGGTTCGTAGTAGTAAATCCCGTACAATAGCTAATGGTCATGGTCGCAGGGCTTAAGTTCAATGAAAAAAAAAAACTATCATTATTATAGTTGAAATCAAAGCTCAAACAAAACGTATTTTATAATATCACATTTTGAAAAGTTCCAAAATAAAACACTCAAACAGTTCACAACAAAATTAAACGTTTCATATAACTTTTAATAAAAAAAATATTTTAATTTTACAATATTGAAGTAACCTTAACACAAATCACTGTAATTAAAAATGCTATCATAATTATTATGTAATCAAATATACACAAATGGTATAACCCTCAATAGACAATAATTATATATCGCATAAGATAATGCATTTAATATGTATGTATTTATAAATAAAAATATGCAATATAGATTGAGGGATTTACTAGTGTTAATAATTTGTAAGCCATTAACATAATAGTAAATTAATAACTTATAATAATATGATATTTTGTTACCTATGTAGGTAATAAGTAATAACTAATAAATAATAATACTTTTTTTCAGTGACTAAATTCAACGCATTACAATCTTCCGAAGTACCAACTAAATAAATATCCACGTTTATACATTTATACATTATATAAAGTACATATACGTACCTAGGTTTATTGGTATCAGTTTTATCAAAGTAAACCAATTATTTACGTTTTTCTTCAATTATATTATATTATGATGGTTAGTTGTTAATAATAAATAATAAACTATGACGTTATGAATGTAACGTTTGAATGAAAGTTTTGTATTCATTGCAAGTAAATATCTATTATAACACTGAATAATTTAAATAATATTTTAAAACAAATACATTGTATAATATAGTATTATAGTTTCGTACGCAATATCGCAATAACTATTTCCAAATCTGCAGCTATCTTTGCAGGTACCTTTATACCTGTACACTATACACATTTCAAACATATTTTATCACCACAGTGATACAAATAGGTATAGGTAGGTACCTAAAATAAACTAGTCTATGTAGAAATAAAATACGGTCAATGCTTCATTCTGGTTGCCAAGGTGACATTTTTTGATTATTGCATCAATAACTACAATAAAAATATAAGTTACAGCCTGTATACAAAGCGCATAAGTGTAGGTATAACTAAAACCTTTTGATTGTAAACTTTTATACTCGATTGGTTAATTGTACCTAGGTACTATTAATACCCATATCACATAAAAACAATTTTAAATATGGAAGAACTAAAAGACAAAAGTTTACATTTAACCGCTGAAAAACTAGCTGAAGAACTTCAAAAAATGGATATTTATAATGAATTTTATGAAGATTTACAGGTAATATATTATAATAAATCATATTTATGCACCTAATTTTTAAGATAAATACTAAAAAATTAATCATAATTTATTTATTTTGAAATGTTAAAAATAATTATATGTCTATTTTGTAATATTATAGTGAATTGTAATGCATTTTGTTTAATCATCTTTTATAATATGTTTTTCTAAATATGAAATATTTCCATTTTCATTTTTTTATTGAGAAATACGCTTTAAAAATAAATGTCGTTTGTCCTATTTATAGGTAAATTTGGTCCGTAATAATTTGTGTACATATATAAATAATTATAAAATTTGAGTTAAAATATTGATAATTACTTATTACTGTTGTAAATAATGTAAGCCAATAACCGCTTAATTGTAGTCAAGGCTAACAAATAAAAATAAATACTCCTTAGTAATATAAATTAATTAATCATGGACTGCACATACATATGCACATACATTACTGAGACCTATGGCTATCCCTAACGACGAGGTAGGTACATTTGACACCTACTACACAGAAGGACGACTTCCTGGTTTTTTGTTTTAATGTTTTATACTTATATTTGAAGATATAAATTTAGCCGATGGTCATATAGATATTATATAATTATATTAAGTTATAATAATAATGATTTAATATAAATAGGAAGGTACAACTGTCTACATTGTAAGTACCTATATGATATATGCTATAGGCAATAGACTCTTAGGCTATATTATGCCTATATTATAGACTATGTAGTGGATTGTCCTAAACAGTATTACAGTCTTGGTGCACAGCAGGCTGTAGTTTTGACGTGTTGTACCTAGTTAATATCTAGGTTAGCCGGTTAGGTAAGTAGGTACTTAAAAGTTAAAATGTACATCACAAATTTTCATCACAGAGTCATATATTATAATTAAATATTATGTTGTGAGCGATTATGTTCAACTGAGATTATTACTTAGATATATCAACAAGTCAATATGATTGATTCTCATATCTCAAGTTATAATAACTTGTAACACTAGTAGCTCCCAGCTGGTATAAGTTACTAACATAGTAACATAATATGAATGACTAGGTAACTTTAGGTCCCCCCAACAATACGGGCATTACAAGAAATAATTATGATATTAATATGGATGTGCATATAAGTACTTAATCACAAATTAAAATTGGTTGAATCATTGATCATTTAAAGAGTATAAATACAAAAAAGTCCGATAACGTGCGTCGCTCCGCTGGTTTTTATACTTATTCGTCTTTGAGATGGTTTGAGTTTATGAAATGGAACAACGGCGTCTAATATATTTATCATTTATGTATCGACATGACGACGACACCATGAACTAAAATATTATCAAGGGCCTTATTGGTTCATGATCGCGAGTCGCCAAATACATCGATTGTGACACTCACGAAGCTATGAGTCTATGACATCATACTTACTAGTTATTAACGCAGTAGCTCTGCTGTAATATTCTATTATTTTATTCCAACTATAATATCACAAAATCATATCTGTTGGTTTAGATGCTAGCTGCTTCCCAAGATGTATCCATAGATGACTTTAAAAAGACCTTGGTGCAAGCAGTGAACATAGGGAGCATGGAAACTAATCTAAGAAACGCGGTATTCCATTGGTTGAGAAGTCATGGAAATAATAAACAAATTGTGGTTAGGGACGAAATAACGAGTAGAGAGTCGTTAGACTATTTGAGAAAAGCTCAAGTAACGTATAATATACAATATTATAGAAAATATATATATTATGATAGAATTATAGAAAACATACCTATAGGCTATAACCTAGGCGTGCGTACTGCAGGTCAAGATAGACTATAGTCGCCTGCCCTATATATGGTATTATATGGATGTGAAGTTAACATTTTTATTAGAAATATATTACCACTTTACAATTTTTAACAATTTTAACCATAAAAATAGAACAATATTGTATTTTACGATTAAACAAAACCCATAGTTTATAAACTAAATGCAAAATAGTTCTTAATGTAGCCTGTAGGCTACCTGTGTTATGCGTAAATTATTTAACGATAGGTACAATAAGGTACTTACTTATTAGTCATTAATTTATAATATATTAAATACTAAATAGTATATTGAACTATAATAACTAGTATAATGTTATACCTATGTTATTCGTAAATTAATTAACGATAGGTACTTATTAGTTATTAATTTATTATAATATATTAAATACTAAATAGTATATTGAACTATTGAAGTTGATAGAGGTGAGTAGGTGCAGACGATGTTTAAACGAAGATTTGGAAATTACTTTGAACAGATGAATTATAAGGTAGTAAATCTATATGGCCTGGGTGGATGGGTATATCTATAAAATATAAATTATAATATATCACATAGCCTTATGCCTATCTATATATATAAAAATGAATTGCTGTTCGTTAGTCCAGCTAAAACACACACTTACGTACAAACATCACGGGGTCCGTGATCCACCGCAGGTAGATTGCCTACCTGAATATAACCTGATAATATACTGCTGCGAATCAGAATTATTATTTTTATTATTCCGGACAACGGAAAAGTTAAGATGAATTTTGAACACCATACAGCATTGAATATTAAATAACGAATTGAACAAAGTTTGAGTCATATAGATTTGGTACATTTAATGGGTAAAGAAGTGCACGGGATCAGCTAATATATAATGTACATAGTATATATAGTACCTATTAAACCTTTGACATAAACCTAAAATTAGTAAAATATGTTATATAAAATATTTAATTTTAACATAAAATTAAATATTATTTCAACTTGTAGTTTATAAATTATAACTAAATGTTCCTGTATGCTATCTGTAAAATGTTTGCTCCTACTGTCTTGAAACTCTGCACAAGCCTATGGATGGAAAACAAAGTTTAAGTGTTTAACCTATAACCTATATGTACAGATCACGTGGGAAAGAAGAATACAGAAATCGTTGGAATCTATGTGCGAGGAAATAGGTATAAATCTATCTTGTCTTAGGTCCAGTGCTGATCGAGATGAAATGTTACAAAAATGGAACGAACTCAGTACATACAATACGTGTAAGTCATTTTCGTTTATAGTTCTAACATGTAACTTGTTGTATGCTATTTTAATTAAAAATATTATACATATATTTCCTCTCGAGATTCAATATAAATATTCACATCGAATATTTATACATTTTATTTTATTTTATTTTAAGGTTTGGAAAGACTGAGACCGGTGTATGCACCGAAAGATTTTTTAGAAGTGTTATTTTCATTGCATAATCCTAATTACCGAATGATATCGTAAGTACTTACCTTCTATTATACCTAATGTTATGCTCCTAAAAAGTAGAAACTAGGAATGTTGAAATTCTTTTTTTAAATACAATTTTTCTCAGCATGTTGATAGATTGGTATTATATACCTATTGATATTGAATCAAACATAATATAGGTACCTACAGAGTGTCCACCATACTCTTATAATTTTATTCATCAAAACTTAGAAATGCTAATTAAATAACATATACCTAGTTTACGTAGGAAAAATATTTTATTTTATAGAAAATGGTTAAAATAAAAATTGTATAAGAAAACGATTGTAATTTCTAGCTTATGAGTTTCGTAAATTATTATAAATACTACCTATCTTAATATATATTTCTTCTGTCGGTGTGTAAGTATTCAAAATCTTAAACGGCTTCTCTGGTTTTTATGAAATTGTTTGTGTTTGCTAGAACGGGTCCTTGAATAGTTTAGATTCACGATTGTACCTGGTATGCGCCGTATGCCCATCCCTAGGAGGTACTCAAACAGTGATTTTTAGATTTACCATTTACGATGGATATTTTTCTTTATAAATAGTGCTATTGGTTATAGGAGAAATAATTAGTATAAATAAGTATTTGTTTATTATTGGTTGCCATTGGTTATGATGGAAAATCAGGTTCAAGCCAACATCAATTCTAATTTTCGCACATTTCCTACCAAGGTGGCTGAGTTTCACTTACTGCAGCACAATCACAATTTTTTTAAGAGTTGTAATTTTCTACGGGTTACAAAGCTATTATTATATAAAATATTTCCAATCCCAATCCCAATTGAAATATTATAATACTTACATAATTAATATTAAATGCGTAATGCTTATTCTTAATTCTAATGATCCCTACGGCCCTAATATTGTATTTATATGTGTCGTACAATATTAAATACTATGGAAATAATATTTAAATTTGATTTAGTGATGATATGATATGGGATTTTACGTACCTGCCGCTGAAAGTTAAGACACTACCAGAACTGGTAAGTTATTTAATAGATAGATAACCTATATTATTCATCACTATAGTTACTTATCTAGGTACTAATTTACTTAAACGTTCGACAGTACCTACTTAATGGTGTATCCAAGAAGATGTTTACCCCCCCCCCCCAATGGCCCATTAATGATTATTTATTATACACGCTTTAACTCACTTAAAAACTAAATTATTATCATAAAAAAACTTCCAACAAAACACAGATAATGTTCTTAACATCAAGTTTTATAATAGGTCGTTCACTCTAATTTTTAAGCTAACGGCATAAAACTTGAATTTCTGAGCTTACATTTGATATGTTAGCGTTTGCAAGACGAAGACAACACAGCGGGTGTGGCGTCTTCTTAATTCGGCAAATTCGGGTATGGTAATTGCCTACTAATTATAAAAATTGTTGTTAAATTTTCCAATTAAAAACAATAATTGTTAATTATTAAAACCTAGTATACGACACTACGACGTCATTTTACACTATATGGAAAATAGTGACAAAATAATAAAGATAGGTACTTAATAATAATAATATTAATAATATTTTAAGAATAATAATATTCTTGGATAATATTTGTGGTCGGTAGATCCTCTCGGATATGCCACAGTCAACACTACATCAGTTATCACTTTATCAGTACCAATAACTTAACGATATAGCTACAGTTAAAATAGTTGTATAATGTTGCGTCGGTTTTAGAGACATCATTATAGGGATTTGGCCACTGCCGATTTGCTGTTAGGTTTAACTTGTTGTCAATGTCTGACGGCTTTGTCATGCGGGTCGACGTCACAGGGAGAACAAGAACGAATCGCTTTGGGAGAAAAAGGTTAAATAATTAAATTACCCCGTGTATAGGTACCCAGAGTGAAAAATGAACGAGTAATAATTATTTTTACAGTTCTACAACATCAGCATGCACCAGTGTGTCAAGAGTTTCTAAAATTGGGTGCACCTCGCAGTCTCCGGGGCAGGCTCTGGGCACAAATTCTAGGATCTAGTGCGAAGACTTCGGTATGAATTTCACCCACCTGGCCACCTCGTACCTATTATTAAATATTGTCCACCCACGTAACGGACGTTGGACATTTGTTTTCAGGAACAACATTACTCGGAATTAAAACAACGCGTGTTGCACTTTGATATGTTGATCGACAAATTGATCACGAAAGACGTTCAACTAACAGCGTGCAACGACGATCAATACTTCGTATTCGAAGACGTCTTACATCAGGTGCTTTTATATTATACATTTATACATCAAATATATTAATATACAATATAAGTATACTGTATACATAGGCGCACATTGGGGGTGAATTTAGGGGGTGCTGGAATAATTTGTGTTACACAAAACCAAAGGGGGCTTCGAACCCACACCATCCTAAATTCTAATACTATAATAAATTGCATTGTAATTATTTTAAATTTGTATACAATTTGTAAATTGCAATGAATCAAGTGGTTATAACCTTTCATTAATAATATGATTGCTGCTTATTGTTTAATATTTTGACGACAACTGAAACGTGCATTTATGCAATACTGTTTTAATCGCAAATTCGTGAACTGTTGTCTATTTGTAATGGAAAAAAAAAATCCGAACCACAATAATTTATTAATGATTGGTGAAATACTGAAATAAATTTCATAGGGAACTGGGGGTGCTAGTTTAAACCTCGAGGGTTCTAAGCACCCCCAAGCACCCCCCTATGTGCGCCTATGACTGTATACAACTATACAAGTTGCGTAAATCAGCCATAATCCCCCACCCCCCTCCACACAAACAAAACCGTAATCTACACAAAAATTCAATGACCCTAGTAAAATGCTTCAGAACTAATAAAAAAAAAAGTGGCGTATTAACGGTAGGTGGAGAATAGTTCCCTTAACATTTTTTTTAGAAATGTTTGCATCCAAAAAAAAATATTTGTTCATAAAGGAGGAAAAGACTAGAGTATATAGAACTCCGTATATAGACGCTCAGAGGAGTGGAGTAGGTATTTTTAACTATTTTCATAATGTTGAAAATAAATAAGAGTCCGAAGTAGTAAGCGTTTAAAATGTTTAAATATTTGTACGACGAGTCAAATAACAATAATAAATAATAATTAATGCTCAAATGCCCAATGTCAATTCTGAGAAAATAACATGGGATATTCTAAATTCATTTATTGGGTTTATAATGTATATTATATAGGTTATATATTTTACCTATCTATAGGTACTCTATAATATAGTATATTATACATTACCTTTGTCTATAGTCTAACCAGTCGAACGATCTATCACATGGGTACCTACCTAAAAAGTAAGAACTAACAATAGAGTAAATGGGTTTTATATTTTGGACCGTCTCTGAAGTAGGTATTAAAATTATGCCAGATGAAGTACATGAGTATACATGAGTTAGGACTAAAAATTGAATGTTCGATTTTGTGTCATATAAATATTAATAAATAATATTATAAATTAATATTAATACCTATCTAATCATGTTAATGTTTATATACCACATTCATATATGATATATTTATGTAACAGCAATACAGTAATAAATATAAATTTAATCTATATTTGTATTCTGGTGTTAAGGGGGTGGTATCCCCCTGCTCGAATTATCATGAGCCCTATATAAATATAAATCCTCCCACCCAGACAAAATCCTAAATACACACTTAGCATAATATACTAGATTACTTATTAGTTTTTAATTATTATACTTACTACTCAACGGCCTAATAATAAGTATGGGTATATACTATATACCATATACGTATGACATATAGGTACCTAATTATCTAATAACATAATTGGCCGTTAATTACATACCTAGGTAATATTCTTATGCCCATGTTTGGTGTTTAGATAATGTTGTGTTTTACTCGCGATACTGACGTGTTGTCAGTGTTCAACAACTCGACCAGCCATCCAATACTTACGTCGTTGAAGGGCAAACCACCTATCGAGGCAATATATCCTCCCAATGGCATTATACCTTTCCACGGTTTTACAATGTATGGTAAGGAGTAAGGACTATCATCACAAAAGGCGAAAATTTCAAAAATCCTCTACAGTGGCGTAAGCCAACAATTTGGGCCCCTCCACAAGAATAAAAAAAGTACCACAAAATCGTTCTTGAATAGGTTTAGAAACATAAACGCATACAGACGTACGAAATAGAAACCTTATAGCCTATAGGCCATAATAGTCACAGTGCTGTAAAAAAAAAGCTTATGGTTATCGTGGTCCTTCAGCCTTTTGACGTAAGTGCATGAGAGCTCATCAAAGTTATACCCGTAATAGAATATAATGGATGTCTGTCTGTCTAGTTTTTAGCTAGAAACTCAAAAATTACTGAACCTTTTTCAATCAAAGTTATATCATTGAGTATAGAATAAGGATAGTATAGACTATAGATACTCAATGGTTATATCAAAAGATTTCTTAACATTTGGAGGGTGTTTATGGGTTGTTTTTTCGGTATCGGGTCACTTCCCCGTCTGCCATTTCCCCGTAACCACTTCCCCGTAAGTCATTTCCCCGTCCAAAACGTTTCCCCGTCCATATTATATTATTTATGTATAATGAATTTAAAAAAATATAAAAATTCCAATTTCGTACTATCTATACATCACGTATAGGTACATATCGATATATCCCCGTCAATGAAATCGGCTTCAAATTGTATAGATATTTTTCGTTATCGGTGCAAACCCAAATAAGACGCCGATAAACTAATAGTCAACACTCAACACACATTATAAATTGTCTGTAATATTATCTACGATTTATACGGCGACGACGAATCTGATGACGGGCCCGCAGCTCAGTCGTCAGCCCGCTTTTGATGTTCAATTAATTTTGTTTTACGCCGTCCGTGTTTGTCCGTTTTGATTATTGTTATAGTGCGTTATTTTAATTTAATTCATTAACAATTTTTACAATGTCTTTAAATTACGTAAAAAGTTCAAAAGGAAATGACTTACTAGTGTACTCAGGATATATTTTTGAAAAAGATTATATGAAAAAACAAAAAACTTATTGGAAATGTATAAGATACAATACTGATAAATGCCGTGAAAGGGCACATACTAAAAATAATGAGGTTTCTTTTCATAAAGACGATCTGCATAATCATACGCCAAATAATGAAGAAATTGGTGTTAAAAAATGTATTTCACAAATAAAAGAAATGTCAAATCAAATTGAGTCAACTCCACAACAAATTTTATATTATTTTAAATTCATTATATTATATATTTTATGTTATATTTACGTGATCAATAAATTATGAATTACATTTTTTTAAATTTCATAAATAATATAATATGGACGGGGAAACGTCTTACGGGGAAATGTCTGACGGGGAAGTGTCCATGAATCGTTTTTTCAACCCCTATAGGTACCGCCTATAATAAGAAATATTGCATACATATTTTTTTACATATATATATATAAGTAGGAATATAAAATCAAAATACCACTTCCTCACTCACTCACTTATTCATCGCTATATCTCAAAAACTAGAAAACGTATGAACCTTAAATTTGGAATAATGGTTCCATAGATCATAGATGTGCAATAAGAAAGGATCAAATTTGTATAACTAATTTTACTACACAACATTTTTAATTTTATTTAAAATATATTGATATAGTATATGACATAGAAAGACACTCATTTTTACTAGACAAATATTATGATAATATATTATATTATAATACAAATTATTTATCGTTAAAATCGTTAAATCAGGTGGGGCCAAAACGTCCTAGACCAGTAACCCTGTACCTGGTAAATTTTGATCTGTGATTATTTTTAGCGTTATTACTAATTAATATTAATACTATTGTCTATTTCCGTCTATAAGTATAACACTTGGTGGTAAAAGTGTAACTTTTTGAAACTACGTTGTATAAAAGATATTTTAAAAAGTTAAAAGTCGTTTGTTTTCAATGTTTAGCTGCCCCCGTTTGCTATTTGTTCAACGACCCTGTACCATTGTACTACACGTTCAGAGCATTCTACCTGCGTTACTGGTTCAGATTGCATGTGATAAGTTCACACCCGCAAAGCATACTTGGACTATGCATTTTGTTCCAGCGGCTTTTACAGAGACACGAAACTAAGATTTGGTCGCATTTTATGAGCCACAACATTCACCCGTAAGTATACTAAGTATAGGTACCCAATATATCCAGGCACGTATGTGGGGGGATTCATTTTTTTAGGAATACCTAGTCCAAATCCAAATCTATCTCAGTAGTCAGAGTACATCATTATTACGATTTAACTGATATACTAACTTAAATCGTAAATTTTTTTTTTTATAGTACCTATCTAGATTTTAATTTTTTTTATAATCATTTAATTAATGAGATACATACTAAGGAGGACTGTAAACGGGCCTCTCAGATACGTTCCTGAATATATCTACCTAATGGCTAATTGACATAATCCACATTATCCTACAGTCAAGTAGGATAATTCTCGGTGTATGTATTCTACGATTCTACATATTGTATTTAAAAACCAATCAATAATTCATGTTTCATTACCTACTTGTCAGTATCAGAGTGGTATTCAAATGGATCATGAAGGGATTCAGTGGGCATTTACTTCCAGAACAATTACTTAACCTGTGGGACATGGTTATAGCTTACGACTCCCTGGAAGTATTGCCACTTTTGGCAGTTGCGATTTTAAGTTTCAGAAAAGACAATCTGCTTCAAGTAAACACTTTACAAAACGTAGATGTAAGTACTATAATACCACAGTAGAGTGTTGATTATTTAAAGTGAGACTATAGCATTTTGTTAATTGGAACTACGTAAAAATAATTGTACAAATTAATTACTAATTAGTGTTATAAATTAAATTATAAATAATATTATGTTTCAATTTTAAATGTATAATTCAGATGTATTGTTGAATCATAATTTATTTATTTAAATAGGACATTATGAATCATTCAACTAAATATTCATGAATAATTGTTTTTCATATTTTTAAGAGATCTACTTCCCTACCCTACTGGTTAGTAAAATAATCAACATTCTACTAAAATTACTTTTGTTATACCTAATAGATAGAATAAATTTAATCGTTATTTTTTTTTTTTTTTAGTCAGTTCTGGTAGATTTGTCATCGTTAAACGTAATGTCTTTGCTACAGTTAGCACTAAAAGGACCAATTAAAATGTAATAAGATATAAGTACTTGTTAAATAAATTTTCAACTTTAAATTAACAATGTATAATTAAAACTAAATAAAACAAACAAACATTATAAAATTTAAATTTACAGACCAAAGTATACATTTAAACATTTACCTACTCACATTAGTTATTTCTGGGGTTAGTTCATAACATTACAAATAACTAAAAATATAATAATTTAATAAGACACATACCTATCATAATAACAATAAACATTAAACATACATGAATATTGGTTCACTAACACTTGGTACTGAGATCATTTACAAAATTACTTTAAACATTGTATTTAAACATTTAACACACTGAAATTATTCAATTTTTATTTTTATTAATAGGTAATTAATAATTGTATACTTATATAACTCATCAATTCAACCCTTTACCTAACTATGTGATTGCCCGATTAAACAATAGTATATGATATTAAACTGTCAAAATAATAATTGTAATCAACCAGTCAATATTGTCAGAAGAATCTATATATATAAAAATGAATATATGTCTGTGTATGTGTGTCTCCATATTACCATCTCAACCAACCTCAGGAGGAGAAAAAGAATGTTTGTCCGTCTGTATGGGTGTCCTTTGGTTGCCATGGTTACCATGGGTTTTGAAGCTATTAAGCCCCGTTCACACGATCAAATAATTTGTCAAATATTTCATGTATGTCAAACTTCAAATATTTTAGAAATGGTTCTAAAATATTTGGAGTTTGACAAATTATTTGATCGTTTGACCGGGGCTTTATAATAATAATTATTGGTTGCCGGACAACGAAGTGCACGGGATAATATGGTAGAGAGATAGTATATACCTCTGGGCAGAAGATAGACTAATTTAAAAAGGGAGAGGACCATCGGCGTAAATAGGGGGGGGGGCTAGGGGGGGCTTAGCCCCCCTGCAGTTGTATTTAGCCCCCCTAGAAGGTTTTACATTTTAGCCTCAAATCGAGCCTGTAGCTAAAACCCAAATCCGAAAAAAAAAGAAAAAAAATGTTTAAAATAACTCATATGTCATAACTCATAACTCATAATAGTCATAATTAATAATTAATATTTTATACATATTGATATTGTTTTATTGTGGATGTACCAAAAACAAATTTATAAGTAATTGGTTACCTATAGTTATAGCGGAAGAAATTGTCTTGACGTATTGTATTGAGTCAATAAATACTAATGAGTAATGACATATCACAATATATAAATTATTAGGTATTGTTCACATATGGCTAAATATGGTACATTAACTATTGAATGTACGACGCGGGTATGAGACTTATTATGAATTATGATTGTTTATCAGTTAAAAGTTTTACACAAAGTATTTTATTTATAGGATTGTATTGTATGTCCCGAAGACCAAAACCCACTTATTATATTTGTTATCTTTAAATGGGTACCTAGTACCTACCCGTATTAGCGTATTTTTGTATAGTCATATTAGTTATATCGTACAGCAGTTACTGGTTAGTGATTATAGTACTATTATATAATATTTTCTATGCGACATGCGTCTGTGCAGACTGCGAATAGGTATTACTATTTACTGGTATAATTAGTGTACTAGACAGTGTCTCAGTAACAACTATTTTTTTTTGCGTATATGTTAAATTTATTGAATTTACCCATTACCTATTTATTAAAATGTTCAGCATATTTGAATCAAAAGCAAGTAGTGCTAAGAAAAATAATAATGATGCACCAAAAAACCAATCATCAATGAAAGTCTTACCAGATATACAAACAATTGAGGTGATACGATTTACGTAATTATCTATTTATTAATTATTAATTATAGGATAATTATTATTTGATATTTCTGTTTAAATTTCATTTTAAATTTTAATTATTGAACTGCAGGTTCTTGGTTATAATCAAAAACAAGTTGCTGAATCAACAAAATCAGAATGTGAGATAAGCACTTTAAATATTAATTCAAAAATTATTAAAGATAGTAATAATGTGAGCGATTTGGGAAACAAAGAAACTGGTCCTGTAAAACCGATTTTAGATGTGAGTTGTAATAATTTACCAATATTCTATTAATTAAGACCATAGTCCATAATGTTTGTAATTATAAAATAAAAATAGAGGTATTTGTTAACTATTTAATACCTAATTAAAATACTTTTAGTTCACTATTAGATTCTGAGCGGAGCGATGAATGTATTGGTTTTACAATGATGTATGTTTTTTTTTATATTTTTATATTTTTATATTTTTGTGTCTGTCATCACGTTTTGGGACAGTAAAAGTGCTTCGATTTTCTTCAATAGTACCTTTTCTGATAGGAAAGTGAATCTAGTTGGTACTTTGGGGTGTCAAAAGTAAACATTTTCCAGTAGTTTTCACAAGCGCCGGGAAAAAACAACATAAAAATTAAGGAAAAACGGGAATTTTTACGCAAAATCGATTTTCCAAAAAATCGAATTTGGTTTTTGGTGTAACTTTGAAACAAATGACCGTAGATACATGAAATTTTCACTGGTTGTTTATATTTGCATTTTCTATACACGATAACATTTTCAAAATATTTTGATTTATTTTGAACTGTTTAGGGACATTTTCATTTTCCCTTTTTTTTTAGTTTTTTTTCTAAAAATATCAATAAAATTTTATTTGTTGGTTGCGAAAGCTTGAAAATTTAATAGAAGGCTCCTAATATGTTGTTTCAAAGGCAGATGAAAAATATTAAAAATCCTTAGTCACAATTTTTTTTATAAGCATTTAAAGTTCAAAAATTGACAAAATATGGAAAAATCACGAAAATTAGCAAATTATTTTGAGTTAAGAATTCGTAAAAATTTTTCTTTTTAAATCTAAGATTTGAAAATGAAACACAAGATTCCTTATAAGATTATCTACCTTTATCAATAAAAAAATCTCTACCGGACAGTCAAATTAAATTTTTATGAGCGTTTGAAATTCAAATTCTTACAACATTGGATTTTCACTCGATTTCTCATGTAGCGATTTCCTTATTTTGTTGTAATTCAAAAACGAATAACTGTAGATACATGAAAATTTCACTGAATGTTTATATTAGCATTTCCTATACACCATACAATTTTGAAAAGATTTTGACTCTTTTTGAGCTGTTTATGGACATTTACAGCTTTCAATTTTTTTTAGTTTTTTTTTCTATAAATATCAATAAAGTTTTATCTGTTGGGCCAAAAAGTGTAAAAATTTAATACAAGGCTCCTGATATATTGTTACAATATCAGTTGAAAAATATTAAAAATACATAGGCACGATTTTTTTTTATAAGCATTTAAAGTTGGAATTTTGACAAAATTTATCAAAATCTCGAAAATTATCAATCGTTGGAATTAAAAAATTATAAAATGTTCAGTTTTTATATCTAAGAGTTGAAAATTTAAAACAAAGATTCTCTTAAATAATTCATACTGTAACCAAAAAATCTAAAAAATATATAAACACACTTATTTTTTACAGACATTTTAATTTCAAATTTAGACAAAATTTCATATTTAAACCAAGAATTACGATTTTAGTTATTTTGTTGTGATTGTATAATATGGGTACTTGAAATTTCTAAAGTAATCTACTATATATCTATGATAGTATCAGGGTTTGTTGTTGGTGTATAACGCGTTATAAGTACCTAATGGATATTGTGATATGATTAATTTGGAATTCATTATAGGTCAATTTTTTTTAATACCATAGATATGTATATAATATGTCTTATACCTAGAAGGACATACCGTCTCCGCTTAGAATCGTTTTTCTTATACAATGATATTATATCATTGAATTCAAATTTAATACCATCCATTATACAATGACCCACTTGTAACCTACTGTACAGCAGAGCGACACCCACTTGCCCACCTTTTTTTTACATTACCTATACAGAATATTTTTTTTAAACACCCAAATCAAAAACTTTATACCTATATAATATTATTATAATACAGTAACTACTAACTATACAGAAATTACCTATGTTGTATTATTATTACAAATTATCTATTATATTTAGGCTTCTATCTATTTATTTATAAATAAAGAATGTATAATAATAATGAAGTAATTTTTCAAAGGTGTCATAAGCAAGAGCAAATGTCTATCTGTATTAGATACACAAAAGATTTTGAAATTCTTGAACGTTTTCTGGGCTTTGTAAATGTATCACAGAGCCAAACTGCTGCTTCATTATTAAGTTTTATTTTATCTTTCTTGAAAGAATTAAACTTAGATAATATTCCTATCGTTGCTCAATCCTATGATGGGGCCAGTGTGATGTCTGGTTGTAGAGGAGGTGTGCAAACATTACTTAAGAAGTATCATCCTAGTGCGGTTTACATTCATTGTATGGCCCACAGGCTAAACTTAGTGGTGGTTGATATGTGTAAAAATGTGAAGGTATGTACTATTATTTGTAGGTATCATTTATTTATGTATAGGCATATTATAAAACTTAAAATATTTTATGGTTATAGTACAGTAAAAACGTTTTCAATGCTTTAGAAGCAATTTATATACATTTTTCTATGCCTACTATGAATAAAAAGCTTCAAGATATGCAAGTCAAACTAAAAATGAATCTTGTAACATTATCAAGTATTAGTGATACACGTTGGGTGTGTAGGCATAAAAATTGTAAAGCTGTTATTGAAAACTTCAAATTAATTGTAGATGTTTTACAAGAAGAGGTAGAAGAAAATAATGATCGAGATGTTAGTCGAGCTATTGGTAAATATTAGATTTCTGGTAATAAATTATGACATACCTATGTTAAAAAATTGTATACTATATATTTTTATAGGAATATTGGCCATGATGTTGAAAGGAGAATTTGTTGTATATTTACATATCATGAATTATGTATTAAGTATCATTCAAATTTTGAGTTGTAAATTACAAATGAAAAATGAAACATTAGGAAAAGCTGCTAATACTGTTATTGGAGTAATTAAAACATTTGAAGATAGCAGAAATTCAGAAAGTTTTTC